CAGGGTGGTCCTTGGGTGCAAGTGGCATCTGTGTGTTGGGGAACGAGGTTGTGAGTAAGGCGAGAGACATGCCTGGTGCTGGAAGCGTGCGACATTGGTCGCTGTATGCTCGTAGCTGTTGTCGTCAACTTCGGCATTGTAGTATAGGCTAGATAGGATCTGCCACATGTAGTCTGGGCGCCGAGCGCCAGATAGGATATCAACTCTGGTTCGTCGTTGATGATGATGATGGGTCTATTTCAGCATTGTCAATTATGAACTCTTGGTGTGTTCTTATTTGGTGAATCTCGTGATGCAATTCTGCTGTTGGTTCGAGGTCAAGACTATCTGGACTCATATGTATGATGTTGTTTGATTGCTGAAGTTCACTATTGCTCATCTTCCTTGCAATTTGGTATCGGAGCTGTGGTACGATTGCGCTCATCTGGCGCTTGTCTTCTGCCTTACGCGGTACATACATGCGGTCTGCTTGGCGAGTTTGGCCGTAAGTGGTGTGTAGTGAGGAGGGCGGAGGCGAGTGATAGGCGATCCAGGAGGTGAGGGGTTCGCCAGGAAGGCTACGAGATGTGTGATGTGGTCTGGACAGTGTGATGAGACCTATCTAATGTGCGATTGGTGCTGAGGTGGAACGGCGAATGACTGGTCATCACAATCGGCATCTGGTCATCTGGTGAGATTATCTCTGTGGTTGGGGGCAGCTATTTGAGGTATGTTGCTCTTAACCTTATCTACCCTCTCCGACACTTCTTACCGTGAGGTTGTGTTCCTTCTTGAGAGTCCTCTCATTGTGAGGTGTCGAGTGCGCTCAACCTTGAGAGTCGGCAATGTTCACGTGGAGCATCTGGGAGAAGATGGGCGGAGCTTTCTGAAGGGCGCTGGACGAAGCACTGGGTCACAGTCACCATGCCAACCCACCAGGAGTAGAGCACGCATGCTTTGCTGCTTGTCCTTTGTTCGGCTTGCTGCGCTGTTAGATGGGTACTGAAGGGCAGGCCAGCCCTTAAGGGAGACGAGACCGGGCGTCTTTAAATAAGCACCGGAAGGGGAACCATTGGTTGTGATCGTCGTCCGACTGCGACGTAAAAGAATTCCTGGAGTCACTTGGGGGCGGGCGTTAAATTGCCTCTGGTTGTAAGGCTCGCTGCACGCGAGGATAATCCAGTGCAGGGCTGGCCAGCTCAGCAGATACTAAGGGCACAAGGGTAGGCCGGACGCACACCTTTAGACACGTGATGCTCTCCAGATTGCTCAGGGACGCTGACGTCAAGTGATACTGAGGGGAACTAAGGGAGGGGTAGATTTCAGGTGATAAAGTTCGAGAAAATTCCATGTTGTCCTATCCACACAAATTATTCTATTTTTATGTTTTGATTAGTTAGGTGTACAGCCATTGACATCTGACAGACAGCATTAGTTAGAACTGTTTGTTGTTCCTGGTGCTTCTCTTTGCGGACTAGTCAAACTAAAAATAGTTTTTATTTGTAGGAATCTGACTTACCTGTTGGGCCCGAATGTAAAGTCTCCGAAATAGCCACTAGTTAATTGGTCTGTACACTACGCTGCGGTAGGCATTTAGAGTGCACTAGTGCAGATTGTGTACAGGGCTGTAGCTTATGAGCGACAAGGAGGACACTGGAGAGGACGACCTAAGGGTCTTGCGATCGGCTAGACGCCCATTAGGACCAGAGGGCGACAGATATTTGTTTCGCCAGCTCAGGGAGAGGCAGCAGCAGCAGAGGACGGCTAGAGCAGCAGACGCTAGCAGGGCACTTGTGAGTGAGGCCGCAGCTTCGGAAGCCATGGCCACTTCTGCGCAGCAGACTACTCAGGCCGGTAGTTCAGGGTCTGTTGGGTCAACGGTCGCGCAGACCCAGAGTCAGTCCGCTGGCGTAATGGCAAGCCAGCCACTAGTGTTGACGCCCGATGAGATCGCCATACAACAAGCAGCATTGCAGGAGGCACAACTACAAAAGGCGTTAGGAGATATAAAAGCGGAGAAAGAAAGAATGATTAGAAGAAGAGCCAGGATGCAACGGAGACAAGCGGACGTTAGTGAGTTAGAGGAGATGGACCTGACGCACGTGACTGATGAGGTGAGGATCGTACGGTCCGTCCTGCTGAATGTAGTTGAGATGCAGGACCATCAGACAGCCATCCTTCAGGACATCCAGGAAAGTCTGGCCCTGTTGGTTGGGCAAGCGCAGGCAAAGTCGCCAATGTCCGGGCCTGGTGCCTGGCCCGTTGTACAGCCTCCTCCTTTTGTCCCACCGGTGACTGGGGTATCCCCATATGTAGTCCCATCACCGGTTGCGATCGTTTCCCTGGGCATGCCGCTATCAGGAGGGATCACAGCAGGATCTAGTTTGCAGGTTCCGGTTCAGACAGTGTTTACCCAATCTCCGTTGCAAGTTGCGGTCACCACGCAGCCTGCAGTCTCGCAACCTGTACAGCCGCAGGGTACACAGCCCCAACAGCTGGCACAGCAACCTGTGTCACAGGGTCCACAACCCGGAGTGATGCAAGGACCGGGACAAACACAGTGGGTTCCAAAGACGGCCATCGCCCCTCCGAAACCCTTCACAGGGGATAAGAGAGGTGAAGACCTCGACACGTGGTTGAGGGCAGTGCCAGTCTATGTCAGGTGTAAACTTACCTTGCTGCACGAAGAAGTGCTTGTGGGTGCCTCCTACCTAGAGGGTAGTGCAGCAAGATGGTTTAGTGGTTTAGTGCAGCTCCAGGGGTATGGTCATGACTTTCGCACTTGGGCGGTCACCCAGAAATTGGATGACTTCCTTAAGCTGGTGGAGGAAAGGTGGCATGATCCTCAGGAGGCCCAAAGGGCCACTGACGCGATCCTGACACTGCACACGCGGCAGTTCAAGTCAGTAAGGGAAGCCACCGACGATGTTGAGCGTCTGATCTGTGTCCCTGGGGTGCGCTATGACCCCCAGGTTTTACTCACCTCATACCTGAGATGCTTCTCTTTGCCTCTCAGGAACCAGTTGGCAGGTGAGGCAGACATCAATATGCACAACTTTCCTTCGTTTAGCAAGAAGGCCCTAGACCTTGAGGCGAAGATAGGGCATGGACAGGCACCCACTACGGATGGAAGGAGGAAGACACTGCCTCCTAACTGGAAGGCGAAAGGGCGCATCATGTTTGTCGATAACGATGGTTCAACCATCGAATTAGACGAACACTTCTAGGAAGGAGTAGGTTCAGAGGCTGGCGGCGCAGAAGCTTCAGAGGGTGGAGTAGTCGCTGCCGTTGCTCAGAAAGGTAAGGCGACCGGTATACGTCGCGGAGGCTCCCGGTCAAGGAGTCAAGTCGACCCCAACGCTCCCCCATGGGAGAAGGCGGGTCTCACAGAGGACGTGTGGAGACATGGCCAATACGGCCATAACCAGTTCAAGTGCCGAAACAAGAAGGTGACCGACAAGATCCTGCCTACAATGGGGCAGGCGCCAGGATCCTCCCATCCCATTGGTAGCAATGTGGCCAGCACTTCAGGCACTGCTCCGGGAAACACGTCGGGCCAGTAGGAATAGTAGTTGCTCCTACTAGGGTCGAGGTGGTGGAGACACCCTCACCATCTCGAGAGATGGCCCAAGCTACTGACTCCAGCATCGTCCCGCAAACATGTTCAGACCCATCGAGCCTTTGTTTGATGAATGTGTTTGAGTCCTTAGAGGAGCTAGAGGAGGAGTGGTCTAGATTGGACCCGCTAGCTTCTTGGACGGCCCTTGTCAAAGCCCCAAAGGGTGAGATGTTTGTCAGCGAGACAGTCATTGGCGGCCGCAAGGCCAGGGCCTATTATGACACTTGCTCGACAAGGAACTTTATTAGTCACACGTGCATTGAGAGGCTGCGTTTACAGGGGCGAGTGCAGCGCCTGAGTCGACCTGTGGAGTCGACCTGTGCCAACAAACAGCGCATGGTAGTCAATGACTACCTCCACGATGTGGAGTGTTGTTTCCCGTACGCGGGAGGGGAATTGAGACATCGCGTCTCGTTCCTAGTGACCGATGAACTCCCCATGGACATGTTGTTAGGTATGTACTACCTCTCTGTGGCACAGCCCCAGTTTGATTGGGATCGAAAAGTGGTCAAACACAATTTGCCAGGTGGAGGGACCGCCATATTGCACAAGTTCAAAGCTAGTAGTCTGATCGAGTCCCATGGGTGCATGTGTGCGGCCGCATTTTACAATTACTCTAAGCAAAATCAGGAGGAGGGTATGTATCTAGTTTATGTTTTTGCTGCAGGCGAGCCGGTGAAAATGTTGCCGGAGATAGAGGGAGCGGTTGCCCAGTACCCTGATCTATTTGAAGAGCCGACAGGGGTTGTAGAGAGGGAGGTCGTCCACGCGATAGAGATTATCCCAGGGTCTAGCATTCCGAAGGGTAGGATCTATCGGATGTCTCCAGGCGAGCTCGATGAGCTTCGCCGACAACTCAAGGAACTCGTAGAGAAGGGTTGGATCCGGCCGAGTGTCTCTCCTTATAGATCTCCAGTACTATTCGTACCTACGAAGAAGGAGGGTACACTGAGGATGTGCATTGACTATAGGGGCCTCGATGCCATCACTGTTAAGAATAGAGAGCCCCTACCGCGCATCGACGATTTGCTTGATAGAGTGCAAGGGTAGCGGTACTTCAGTAAGATAGATCTGAAGTCCGGGTACCATCAGATTGCAATCCGGCCCGAGGATCAACACAAAACCGCCTTTCAGACCAGGTACGGTCTGTACGAGTTTGTGGTGATGCCTTTCGGCCTTTGCAATGCTCCTGGCACCTTTCAGCACGCTATGAATCGGATTTTCCATGACAACTTGGATAAGTTTGTCATCGTGTACCTCGATGACATACTTATTTTTAGTAAGACGGTCGAGGAGCACGTTGCTCATCTGGACAAAGTCCTCAGTCTCCTACGACAGCACAAGTTCAAGATTAACGGTGAGAAGTGCGAGTTTGGCCGCACCCGTGTCTTGTGCTTGGGCCGCACCCGTGTCTTGTACTTGGGTCATGAGATCTCCGCGGAAGGGTTGAAGCCCGATGACGCGAAGGTGGCCAGCATTTGTGACTGGCCGCGTCCTCAGTCTGTGACTGAGATGAGATAATTCTTAGGGATGACTGGCTACTATCGCAACTTCATGGAGAACTATAGCAAGTTGCCGCCCCTTTGATTGATCTGACCCGCCTTGACACCCCATGGGAGTGGACTGAGAGATACGAGGCTGCTTTCAGACATCTGAAGCATGCGTTGACGCATTACGAAGTCTTGAAACTTCCTGATCCTGACAAGCCCTTTATAGTGACTACGGATGCTAGCCAATATGGCGTAGGCGCCGTGCTTGCACAACAGGAGGGGAAAAAGTTGAGGCATGTCGAGTACATGTCCAAAAAGATGCCCTCTCAGAAGTTGGCAAAATCCACCTATGAGAAGGAACTCTATGCGGTTTACAAGGCTCTGACCCATTGGAGACACTATCTCCTTGGGAGGTTCTTCATCCTCAGGACTGATCATCAGGCCTTGAGATGGATGAGAACTCAGCCGGTACTCTCTGACGCTCTCAAGCGTTGGATCGAAGTCATAGAGCAGTATGACTTCGAGCCCAGTACATCAAGGGCGAGTACAACAAGGTTGCTGATGCCTTGTCGCGTAGACCAGATTTCTCTGGTGCGCTGATCACTGAGTTTGGGCTTGCGGACAGTGTTACTCAGTCCATGGTGGTAGCCTACCGCGAGGACCCGTTCATGTCTGAGATCATCTGCACATTCGAGGCGAAGGACAAATTGACTTCTTTTGAGTTTGAGTTGGTCAACGGCTTACTGTTCCTTGAGAAGGCTGGGAATAAACGATTGTGTGTTCCTAATAGGTAATCTTTGCGTAGTTTATTTTTAGGAGAGTGTCATGATGCCATTGGACATTTTGGCTTTAGCTAATCTGTTGCAGCGGTTCTGGTGGCCCACGATGATGAGAGACGCGAAGTTGTACGTGGAGACTTGTCAGGTCTGTCAAAGAGACAAACCACGTACTCAGACTCCTCTTGGGCTCTTGAAGCCCCTTCCGATTCCGGAAAGGCCTGGTGAGAACTTGTCCATGGACTTCATGGATACGCTGGTCACCAGCAAGAGTGGAATGCGCTATGTCTACGTCATTGCGGATAGGTTTTAGTAAGTTTGCTAGATTAGTTCCAATGCCTGAGACAGCGAAGACTGAGCATGTAATTAAGCTGTTCAAAGAGAACTGGGTTAGGGATTTTGGATTGCCAAAGTCTATAGTAAGTGACGGTGATGTGCGATTCACAAGTGAATTGCGGAAAGCCGCAGCTGCTGAACAGGGAACGCAGCTGCAGATGACATCAGGAAACCATCCCGAGGCGAATGGACAAGCAGAACAGTTGAACCGCGCTGTCCAACACTTGCTGAGGCATTATATTAAGCCAAATCAGGTAGACTGGGATGAGAAACTTGCTCTCATCGCCAGCCTGTACAATAACGCGGTCCACAATGCAACGGGCGTGAGCCTGAATAGTCTGCTACTAACTTTCAAGCCTAGACTGCCCTTGGACTTCCTACTACGTGACAACCAGCCCTCTAGTGCACCAGGAACTTTAGAGTTTGCTTATCGATATGAGCAGCTGATGCAGCAGGTTGTTGAGCACATGCACAAGGCACAGGCGGCGATGATAGGATCTGAGAACAAACACCACCGCCCATCCACGTTTCAGGTAGGAGAGAGAGTCTGGGTCAAGTCCTCAGAACTGGGACAGGAGCACGGGATCTCCCGTAAGCTCATGCCGCAGTAGCTTGGACCATGGGAAATTCTGGATGTTGTCGTGGGTGAGCCAGATGGGCCGTCTTATGTTATTCGCATCCCTGGTCACCTACGCGCTTACCCTGTTTTTCACGCCTCCAAACTTGCACCTTTTAAAGAAACAGATCAGTTTCCCTCTCGTCGCTCAATGCTGCCCCCAACCATGGATGGAGAAGTGGATATCGATGATATCGTGGACCACAGGGAGCTGCCAACGCCAAGACCCGCAGGCAGGGGACGTCCTCCGAAACCGAAGCTGCAGTACCCCGTTCGGTTCCGGCATCACACTGATCCGAAGGAGGACCGCTGGTTCACCAGGGAGGAACTCATGCAGACCGCTCCGCAAGTTGTAGCCCACTAAAAGAGATCTCTGCAGAAGGGAAAGTGCCCTATGGTTGAAGATTGAGCTTCTCAGAGGACTGTTGAAGCTAAGGAGGAGGGAATGCGAGGCCACTGCCTCTATGAGCCCCATTCAGCCCCCATTTTGGAGCCAGTCGGCCGCCCTAAGTGAAGGCAGGCTCGACGAGGCCCTCAGGGCCCTACTTTGGCCACTGCGCAACTAAGGAAATTCAGGCAGTTGCGCAGCGTCAGTTGG